CATTTTCTTCTTCTTCTTCTTCTTCTTCTTCTTCTTCTTCTTCTTCTTCTTCTTCTCCTCATCATCATCATTTTCTTCTTCTTCTTCTTCTTCTTTTCGACATTTGCTTCTTCTTCTTCTTCTTTTTTTCGACATATGCTTCTTCTTCTTCTTCTTCTTCTCCTTCACGACCACCACCGACTCCCCCGATCTTCGCCCGATCTTCCCCTGCAGCCTCCCTGCCCACTATTCACCCACCACCCACTCCCGGTCGCTCAACATCCAATAGTCTATGGCCTGAAGAGGCAAATAATTATGCATGTGGGAACAGAACAAGGGTGATTCAGCTGATTAAGTGATACATACGACAGCAACAGATCAATGGTGATGCAACTGATCAAGCGATGTATGTCCGGCACACCACAACTAGGTAGGAGTTCTACTGAAAAATGTAAGCTTGAGGTGGTAGGAGTGCCAGCAGACATAAACTTGCCTCCCATAGCAAGACTTACCGAAGACATTCCTTTCCACACTTTGGCAGAGCAAGCACAAGGATGCCCAGATTTTTCATCTTCACACCTTGCCTACTGACAAGATGAAGACGAGGTACTGCTTCACATACAACGAGATCGGGCATTTTCAAAAAAGAATTCTGTACAAAAAGCCTGAAAAGAGGAAAACACTTCCTCAGGCCATGCTACTGGTAGGAATCTACAAACAATGATCCAGTGTGCGCATTACCTGCCAGAAGTCCAACAGAGGCTCGGCTAGTATGTATAGGTTCTCGCTCCCAAACCTGCAAAAGAATCAGACTGTCTACATAAGTTCACACACATACTGCGTTCGAGGACTGAAGCACCAGAAATAAGAGAACATGTCCTGTCCATCTCAAACTTCCATCTTCCAATTGGTTCACTGTCTCATCTATGGCAAACCATTAACATTTGGCAGTCATTACCGCCTCCGGTTCCGAACAGAAGTAAATCTTCTCTCAATCATCTTGCCACTAGCCTGACATCTGAGCAGTGCAGGTTCCCAAGGGGGTTCCTGGGTCCCACATGGGCGGGGCTGTGAAGGCGAGCCCCAGGCAAGGTGCAGGGCTGTGCCAGCCCAAAATTTGAAAGAAAGGAGCGTGCGAGCTTTTTCTCGCACTGAGGCAGCAATCCTATTTGCGGCAAATAGTGCGTCAAATCCATTGTCAGTAATTATTATGCAATAATCTGCGTAATTAAGTGGTGCTGCAAATCCTCCGCATACTACATCACCTAATACATCAAATAATATTAACGAACCGGCCCCCCAAAAAAACAAACAGAAAATGATAAAGGTTGTCCGAGATTGCAACACGAACAACTATTGGCTGAGGGTTGCCTGCAAGCCAACTGCCATAATAACTCAGTTCATGACCAGCACAAACTCACAGATCAGCATGCATGAGAATACCAGGCNAGGGTTGCCTGCAAGCCAACTGCCATAATAACTCAGTTCATGACCAGCACAAACTCACAGATCAGCATGCATGAGAATACCAGGCCGCAAGCAGAATTGAGAATGCAGAGATCATACCAATACAAGAACACACACAACACTGAAGTTTCTTGATTATGAAAGCCCTCTTCACGCCTCCAACAAATCAACACAACAACATATCAGACCTTGACTTGCCCCTGATATCCCTAACCGGTTGATGTGACTCGCTATCCTACTCAACCACCATGCCGCTGAGCTCTGTCCCGCTTCTCCCAATGGCCACTTGAGCCTTGACGAGTCTGACCACCTTGGAGCTCTCCCTGCCAACCACCGGGTGAGTATTCACCAACCTTCCCGACGGCGTTCCTCGCCTCCCAGAGACCACTTGAAGAGTCTGGCCCCTCTTTTTCGAATTCTTGCCCCATTTTGGACCTGCCCAACTGCATGCCGCACCCAGTTCTGCCTGGCTAAACCACACTCATAAGCTGACAGTTTTTCCGGACAATATCGGCTAGGTGAAGGAGCTAATAAGAAAGAAAGGTTGAGGGTGGCCGATCAGCCTAGTCTTGCCATATATTCCTGTTCAAAATACACTGAAGTCGTCCATAGCATCAATCAGAAAGATAAACATGTGCTCGCCTTTGACTGACCCACACACATCCACTCTAATTGTGGTGTTGATTCACCTGTCAATGACGATGCTCCGAAGGTCCTCCACATCAGCAATTGCAGGAACCCAGACCTCTGTGAAACGATTCCGGAGAGCAGGTGAAAGCTCCTTCTTTCCGAAATCTCCACCAGGGTTCATAGTTGCCATTAGCCTGAAATTTGGATGCGCCACAATCTCCTCAACCACCTGCCCACCTCTCTCGGCAAGGACCTGCAGGCAAAGAAAATGACAATAGACAAAAGCACAAGTTGCCATGCAAGCCTCATAGTGCGATGAGAAACCACACGCCAGCAATAACAACTAGAGGCAGAAGTGCACAAAACTGAGTTGTCGCCTTACACCTTCTCTCACTTCCTTGACCCCCCCCCCCTCCCTCCTTCAACAGGATTTCACATTTCGAATTCTTCTTCTTTATTCTTTTCATTCTGTTCCGCTCTTTCTCTCTCTCCACTTCGAGTTTAAGCAAGTCTTGCATTTTCTGACAATTTGAGTTTTGCATTATGAAAGAAGGGAGTAGCACTTCGCGTGTTCAACACGTTTTCAACGTAAAATATGTTCTTCTTTATTCTTTTCATTCTGTTCTGCTTTTTCTCTCTCTCCACTTCCGAGTTTCAGAACGTCTTGCACTTTCTGGCAATTTGAGTTTTGCATTATGAATGTGGTAGGATCATACATTTTCTCTCCTGGATTTCTTATGAAGGTCTCTTCTGCTACATTGAGTGCTGTTTCCAGTTCCCGTAATCTTGTTTCCTTTATGTTGCTAGTGTTCTACAGGCTGCTGATACCGCCTGGGACGATTTTTTTATTAAGGTAATAAGGATGAAAAAAATGAGCATCTGATCTTTCACTGTCTATGCACACTTTCACTATTGATTCGTTCACCTCCGTAGCCTTCAGCAAGGAAGTGTTCACTTTGAAGAACCTTGAGCCTTTTTGCAAGTGTGGAATCAGAAACTAATTCCAAATATATTGGTTCATGATCCAACCGTTACGGTAGGAAAGTGTTCCGATTACCTACACCGTGAGTGCCCCATGCACATAGTCCAGGCTTGAGAAAGTGATGTGCTGGCTTCTATTCCTTTTCATATATGCATATTGCTTAGGTTACGGGTATGGTATAATAATCTGAGAGGTTCTGTTTTCTTCCATCACAAGGGCTTAGACTGCCAGTGCTTCTGTTGCTAATAAGTTCTCCCTGCCACTCTACGTTCTTCACAAGCAGTCACTAATTGCATCGGACGCCGTCTTCCAGTCGCCTGCCAATAAGAGGTGTTTCTTATTATCGTATCAGCCACCATATTTCAGAGATCGTCTTCGCGCAGGGTCACTATCTTCCATGCATCATCCATTATCTTAAGTCTTTTCTGAACTCCATGATGCTGATAAGATTGCTGCTCCCTACAAGTTGGTTGTTGGAGAAGGCACCCATTGGCTAGCCTTCACCCATTTCAAGCGAGCCAGAACTCTGTCCATATCATTATGGTCTAGTGAGTAGACCAGTTTCCTGCAGACACACAATGTCGGCCGGGTCTCCAGAGTATCACCCCAGGTTGTTGATAAGGTTATCCCACTTTTCCATAGTAGCCAGGACGTTCCATATCATCTGGCCATGAATTGCCTGGTCTGAAGACTCTGAACTGGATTCTGTGACACTTGGGGCCTGTGAATCTGCGGGGGGCTACTGTGTACCTGTCAAATATCTATAGTATAGGAGGAGGATAAAAACCAGGAAACTAAGTTCGGCCTTGTCAAGCTGAAACGATCCGTTCAGAGCGTACTTTTTATTAGAATTTTTTTGGAGCTGTCCTGGAAAGAATGCGGAAGGGAGAACGAGAATGGAAGCTGTAATCCTTGACGATGGAGGCTGTAATGAGGGAAGAGTCAGGTGCAGTTGCATATTGTTCAATTGCCAGTTGAAAGGGGACAAGACTGATGCTCCACGGAACAGCCAATTTTCACCAGTGCCAACTCGCGAAATCTCGCTCATGCATCACATCATTTCCACTGGGTCCTGGCAGGACTGTCTAGTTCTTTACCAACTATATGACATATTGCAACTTCCCCACTAAGACCAAAAATAGAAAAGCAACGGATGAACATAACGACATTAGATTTCAGAAAACAAAAAAGGATCAAAGCAACAAAAAAGAAGAATGTGATAACAAAAGAGTACAAGACTTGCAGGATACTGGGTTTCCTAGACTCCGCCTCCCTTGCAGGTTAATTGGTCATTCCATGTGTCCCTCGGCTCGTCCATCGGCCTGTCAGGGCACCTGTTGGCTCATCCATCTGCCGGTCAATCCGGTGGCTGGTCTGTCAGTACACTGATCCGTTGGTTGGTCAATCGGTCAATGATCACTTGGTCAGTCCATCTTGTGGTCCTCGGTCCCCTTGTTCGGTTGGTCCCGCGGTCTGTCAGTTGCAACCCGTCAGTCCGTTGTTCCATCGATCGTGATACATCTGTCAGTTCGTCAAACAGTCTGTTGGTCGGTCCGTCCTTTGTCAGTCGTTCCGTCCATTGGTCTGTCCTTGAGTCCGTTCATACCATGGGTAAGTCAGTCCGCCCATCGGTTGGTCCGTTGGTCGGACCGTCAGTCGGTCTGTCTGCCTGCCTCTCTCTGTGTCCAACCGTCCATCAGTTCGTCCATCCGTCTCTCTCTTTCCCCCACCCCCCCAAGCCCCCCCTCTGCACAAACACATTCTCAAGACTGTAAGCAAGGAACCTGCGCTCCTGGAAAAGTGACAAAACAATTGCATGCGATGACAGGGGAGAGTGCAGTGACAAACAGACTGATAACAGGAGCGACGGAGGTTCCAAGGCACAAAATATGAGCAAGTGCACGTGAATTCCCAGAACGGCGAACGCGTGATATTTCATCGCGTGGCAGTGTTCAGCTTTGCAGCATCACAGTCTCTTTTGCCTCGTCATGGCGGACCACATTCTCTAACTGTTTTGCCCACGGCACTGACAGCAGGATCAGTTGTGGACTTTCCATGGGCCCACAACTGACTCAGATTGACGCCTGATCTTAGAAACTCCTAAAGAGCCCTTAAAGGTGAATCTCGGTAGAACGCGCCCGCAGCCTGGATGAATGATTTCTTCAAAAGCAGTCACCTATCCAGACCATGGACCAGTAAGGACCCAGTCCTGATTTCTCTAGTCCCAGGGAACCATCTAAAGCAAGAATGATACTTACCAAAAGCCTCTTTGGTTCAAGCAAGCTGTTGAGCCGTTCAAGAACACTGTCTTCTGCTAGTGAAATCTCATCAATGAGAATCATATCACCATTCCTCATTGCACGCACCAGAGGGCCATCATGCCAGGTAAACAATGCCTGCCACTCGGCGTGCAAAGACTGAAGCTCAGCAGCAACTGCCTCCAGAGCTTCCAATTCTTCTTCTGCAGCTTTGAGTGTTTGCGACCCAGTGACCTTCTTACGAGCCTTTTCTGCCCAGGGACCCTCCCTCCTTTCTTGCTTTGCACGCATGTCAGATATTACTGTCTGGATGGCAGCTACGACTGATGCTCCCTCCTGGATCTCACTGTTCAACTGGAATACACCAGACAAGCAAATTAGAGATGAAAAGAGGTCAGGTTGACTGTGCCCAAACCCTACACAGGAAACACTACAGGGCCTGATAAAGTGACTGTGACAAGAGCCTAGAGCCCACAGAAGTGTTGCTAAACCATTCGGCCGTACATGGACAGAAGCAATTCTGACGGACTGAAGATTGTAGTCAGCACTGCCTACTTGGCAAATGCAAACAGGAGAAAAAATTAGAGGAAACAGAAAAGAAAGGAGGTGCACAATGCCAGTTTTTTTTTATCCCTATGTTTCCAGATCAAGGTTTCCCAAAGGTATTTCGCTGGGAGGGGAGGCCCTAATGTTTGTTAACCTGAAGCCCCCCTCTTCCGAATGGGGTAGAATCGGTCTAAAAGTAGGCAATAAAACCTACACACATCACCTAACCAGGAGCAATTGTGTGTGCTCTCCGAACCGTGCGAGATGGTCGCCCATCACACGGCTCTCCAACTCAAGTTGCCTTATTGTTATATAAATAAAATAAATAAATAAGCCAGAGTGGCCTTCGCGCCCTTATTTGACTCATTCTGACCCGCGCGCGTTATTTCTTATTTATAAGTTCACCGAGAATGAGTTGAGTCAATTCTCATATATGAATCATCCTTCGGCCTTAAATGTCAAATAAGAGAGGCCTCTGCTTCCCGTTGCGCCTTTGCGCTGATGAGAGATTTCTCAGTCGCCAATGAGAGATTTCTGTAGACGCAAACAATGTGGCCGATGAAAGATTTCTGGACTTGCTCAACCATTTAACTCCACACGGAGAGATTTCTGTAGACGCAAACTGCATGGAATCAGGCCAAAACTGGATGGGAGCATTGTGCACCAATGACAGATTTCTGTAGACACAAACAGTGTGGCAGATGGCGATTAGGCATGCCCTAGCAATGCCAGTGAGGCATCATTGCCAAGGCCACGACTTGCCACTCACAGTTCACAGGCAAGAGCAACAGCAAAGCATTCAGCAAACTTAATGACAAAAGGAAAGTGAGGATGTAGAGGAAAGAAACAATGGCCTCTCTCTCTCTCTCTCTCTCTCTCTCTCTCTCTCTC